GCTCTCTGTTCCCTCACTCCTTAAAGAGTGAGAGGCTGGGGTGTACTCTTCCTCCTTAAGGTCCCCAGCACTTGTATCAGAGAGTTAATTCTCTTAGGCTTTAATACAACTAGGTCCCCCCTTCCCTCCCGCAACCCCCTTTTCTGTTTGAAAACAACAATTTACTAACAACCTTGAAAATTGATTTTATATTTAAATGAAGGCGATTAAATCCTAAAAGGTGAGGATGATTTTCCACACTAAAAGTACAAAAGATTCTTTGTCAATTTAACCCTCTTTAGTATGTTTACAAGGTTTATGAATGGCGTCCGAGGGTAAGCAGCAAATTTAGTCTTGTGCACATTTGAGAGAGTTCTCCATAGAGACCTCACCTCATATATCATGAAATTAGATTCTCATTTGCCCCCCTCCTCTGTGTAAAAAACATCTCCAATGCACCTTACAAATAACAAATAAAGACAGGGTTAGCTAAAGCGTGACTTATCCGGTTAAAAGCATCCAGTTTAATCCGAGTCAGGCGGCGGCGGCAGCAGTGTAGCTGAATGGGGATGTTTAGCTGTTTGTCTAGAGAAGTCCATAGGTGCCTCTACATTCAATGTGTTCAAGACCTTCATTCCTTCATCTTTATCAGTGATCTTATATTGTTTGCCTCGGATCGAAAATTGCAGGGTAAGTGGATTTATCCATGTGTACTTGATATCTGTCTCCTGTAGAGCGCTGGTCACTGGCTTCAACTCTCTTCTTTTTTGCATCGCCTCGCGTGGAAGATCAGGAAAAACTTCGATTTTCTGTCCTAAGTAAGATAGATGACCGTTTCTTTTCGCGTGGGTTAAAATCTTCTTTCTGAATCTGTTGTCATTGAAAGTGATCATGATGTCTCATGCTGGTCGAGTTTTTAATAGAGAGGTGGGACCCAATCTGTATGCTTTCGTTATTAGAGAGGAGAGATCTTCTTCAATTCCAATTGTTTGTGTGAGCCATGTGGAGATATGGAATGCAAGGTCCCCGTGCTTCTCTACATCTTCGCCCAGGCCTCTAAGTTTCAAATTATTCTGTCTCATTGATGAATCAAGCCTTAGAGTGCGTTCAGCAAGTAAATCTTCAGTTTGTTGAATTTGTTTGATATCCGCTTGGTTGGTAATGCTATTTTGCAAAGCACCTTCAGCCGCGCATTGAGTCTCCTTTAAATTCTTTTCTGTGCTTTCCAATCTGTCGTAAAGAGGCTTAAACATCGAGGCAATGTGGTCTGTGAAGGTTTTTTCTATTTTGATTAATGCCACGTTCAAGTCGGCCAACGTGACTGGAATCAGTGAGTCATTGACTGGGTTGTCAGTCACCATTTTGTCTGAGCGATGTGATCATGGGCCCGAAAATTGAATTGGAGATTGCGGTTCCAAATCAACTGCGAGTTTCTTTAATTTTTCGGATTCTGATGAGCATTAATTCGGGTGTTCACCTCCATAAAAATATAGCTGTTTACAGTTGTTTTAGTCGTTATGGGGATTGATGGAAGGCAGGGTTTGCAGGGGAAGATAAACTAGGCAGCCATCTTCTTCTTTCCCGCCACCCCTGTAGCACCTATTTCAATGTCCTCCTTTCCTGTTGTTGTTTTGGTGGGTCTTGAATAGTTTATTCTGAAATCTCCATTTGCATCTTTTCCAATTCTTCTTTAGATCTTTTAAGGAATTCTCTTACATTTTGTACAGACTTTAATCTGAATCTCTGCTGTTTAAAAGTGAGAAACAAACCTTCCATTTCTCCCACCAAAATGGGATCTTTCTCCGTTTCAGTCTCTCAGTTAAAAATACATTTTTTAAAAATCTTTCATAGAATTCTAATAGGGATTTGTTTCAAAACAATTATATCTGTGTTATCTATTTTCAATCTTGTTTTAAAATACTGTTGCAAAACTTTATCTCTTATCTTCTTCCTTACGAAGTGTACCAGAGTATCCCTTGGGACATTTCTTGTTCTGGCAAATCTAGAATTTATTTTGTAAACCTTATCAGTTTCAAACTCCATATCTTCCTCTTCCCAATCCAGGAAATTTGCCAAGACTCTAATAATCCTTTCTCTAATATCTTCATCAGAAATCTCTGGAACAAGAAAGGATTTAGAGAAAATAAAATCAACACCATGGTGACAGCTGCAACTGAAACAGCATTATTTTATTATGTACAATCAATTGCCAGTGAGAAACTCTGCTGAGCAAGAAGCCCAGAACTGATTTCCCTCTGTTTCACTGGAGTAGAAAGTGCTTCAGAAGAGCTGGAGAGGCCCCACCTTTGGGTGGGCCAATTCTTCACCTTTGGGTCTAATGGTGATATAGTATCTCAGTGATATAGTATCTGCTTAAGGGCATGCAAAAGGATCCAGGTTCAACTCCCGGCCTGTCCAGCTAAAAAAGGATCAGGTGATGGGCAATGTGTAAGACCTCTGCCTGAAAGCCTGGAGAGCTGCTGCCAATCTGAGTAGACAACACTAACCCTGATGGCCTGACGGTCTGATCTAGTATAAGGCAGCTTCATGTGTTAATGTGTCTGCAGGGAGCAACCACATGGCCCTAGCTACCTCCATCGTTGAAGGATGCCTGGCTTGGAACCACCCAGCGCTGTGAGATTAGCCCCAGCAGCCCTTTTGCTGTGGTTACTGTTAGCTAACCTCAACATTCCAGAAGGATCTATTTAAACAGGTTGTGGATCCCTGTGAAAGGTCATAGCAATGCTCCCAACCAGAAAATTCTCCTATCTGCCAGCAGCTGGAGAGAAAATAAAACAGCACAAGAACCTGCCTGAGACTGTCTGCCTCGGACTACTGATCTGTCTAGTTCGGGTTGCCAGTTCTGGGTTAGGAAATATCTGGAATTTTGGGAGTAGAGCCTGGGAAAGGCAGGATTTGGGGAAGGGAAGGGACTTCAAGGGGATATAATGCCATGGAGTCCACCTTCCAAAGCAGTAATTTTTTCCAGAGGAACTGACTGCTGTCGCCTGAAGATGTTGTAATCTCAAGAGATCTCCAGCCACCACCTTGAGGTTGGCAACCCTGTGTCTAGTTGAGAATTGCCTTCTGGCAGTCTAAAAGAGCAAGAGTCCAGTAGCACTTTAAAGACTAACAAAATCTGTGGCAGGGTAGGAGCTTTTGTGACTCATTGCTCACTTCTTCAAATACAGTTAGAATGTCAGTCTATCTGCCCTATAAATTGGAAACAGGAATGATTTCAGATGCAGAATGACATTAGCAGGCAAATGACAATAGCAAGTGAATAACAACAGCAAGTGAATGACAATAGCAGGTATGATTGGATTAAGTGTGATATGCAGGGGGTAAGGTGTGGAGAAATCAACATTGGTAATTAGACAGGAAACCTAAATCTTGATTAAATCCAGATTAAGTCTCTCTCTCTCTGATTGCTGAATTGCAACAGATAATGAAACTCAAGACAATGCATCCAACCTGGATTTAAGACCTAGGTTTCCGGTCTCATTACCAATGCTGATTTCTCCACACCTACTATCCCTCTAGGAGCTGCGGTGGCTCAAGTGGTTAAGACGCTGAACTGCAGGCTGTGGAAGGTCGGTAGTTCAGCAGTTTGAGACCCGAGTGTGCCGCATGACGGAGTGAGCTCCCGTCTCTAGTTCCAGCTCCTGCCAACCTAGCAGTTCGAAAGCAAGAAATTGCAAGTAGATAAATAGGTACCACTTCAGTGGGAAGGTAACAGCGTTCCGTGCACCTTGGTGTTTAGTCATGCTGGCCACATGACCACGGAAATGTCTTCGGCTTTGAAACGGAGATGAGCACTGCAGCCCTAGAGTTGGATTCCACTGGCTTTCGAGCAAGGGAACCTTTACCTTTACCTTACTACTCCTCTGCATATCTCACCTTATCCAGTCAGGCCTGTCATTGTCATTCACCTGCTATCCCAATTTGCCTGCTATTGTCATTCAGCATCTGAAAACACTCTACTCTTCAAGGCAGAAGGACAGATGGACTCACATTCTAGTTGTATCTCACAAAAGCTCCTACCCTGCCACAAATTTTGTTAGTCTTACTGGACTCTTTCTGTTTTGCCAGGGCTATTTTTTGGCAGGAACAGGAGTTTTGGCTGGCTTCTAAGTTGGCCACACCCAGCAGGAACTCATTAGCATAATAGGTCACACCCAACAGCAGAAACTCATTCGGATTGGCTACAATTAGGGGTGTGTGGCCTAACATGCAAAGGAGTTCCTGCTCCAAAAAAAGCCCTGGGTTTTATCAACAAACAAGGTAGAGAATAAGATGCAAAAGGTGGGTGTGGCTGGATGACCACACTTCTGGTAACATGGGGGTGTGGCCTAGTATGCGAATGAGCTGTGCTGTCAGGGGTGTGGCCTAATATGCTAATTAGTTCCTGCTGGGCTTTTTCTACAAAAAAAACCCTGCTGTTTTCTACTGGTACAGACAAACACCGCTACCAATCTTGTTCTGGCAGTATGATTTTCAAGTAGGGTGTGGGCATTCTGGCCTCAACAGATGCCCCAAGGTACCAAGATGCAACCTGACAGGCGCTCCTACAGGTTCCTTTCATCTATTCAAATCTGGCTGGCATCCTATGCAGGAGGCAAAGGAGAGGCCCGCAGATCAGAACGCCCTTCTCTTCCTCCCGCTTTTTCACATGCCGTCTCCCTAACAATTTTGGAGAACTCAAAAGCTTGCGCACAATTTTCTGCTATTTTAGTTGGCCTCGACGAAAAGTCTGAACAAATGGCTTTTTATTTTGCTTCTGGCTACTCGCACTCGAAAGCACGCAAGAATCCTTTTTTAAAAACTGCAACAACCCGCAACAAATCATTGGAAAGGGAATATGTTTCCGTGTTAGGTATCCCAGCTTTACTCTCCACGGCCGGCTTTCAAAGGGTTAAAGAAAGAGCTCAGCTGCTGCGAGCAGAGGCCCCTCAATCTCGCGCGGAAAGGCGAGGAGGAAGTGGCCGCCTCTCTCCCTCTCTGGTGAGGAACATCCTGGACCGGAGTCAGGCGACGTCCTGCGCCACACTTAATTTGCCGATGGAGCCGACGCGGCGAGGCTGCTGCGCGCTGGACTCTTTCTAAGCCGGACCCAAGTGGGAACGGAGCCCTGCGGGGAAGCAGTGGCAAAGGGGGCCTTCAGCCGAACTTCTGGAGGATCCGTGGTTGAAGGGACGCCTCCAATCCTAAGTGAGGCTCTGCAGTTCAAAGCACCGGGCGGCGGAGGTCTTGTGGTAAGATAACTGGGAAGACGGAGATATGTTTTCATAGAGCACGTGGCGTGCCTCCCTAGCCAGCGGGGAGGTGGCGAGTCATTCAAGGCAGACTTGACTCGCGAGTAAGCGGGAGTCTTGTGGCACGTCAAAGACGTCACGCAATTTTATTCCAGCATTTGTGGACCACGCTGAAGATCTCGAATATGTGAAAAGGCGGGCTGTAGCCCATGAAAGCTTACGCCGAATAAATTTTTTTTGTTTGACTTGGAAGTGCTACAAAACTCCCACTTGTTTTGATTAATGTGTGTGTGTGTTTTAAATAACTGAGATGCTTATGGCATCGTAATTAATGAATGTAGAGCGGAAGTTTTTGTGACTCAGTCTGGGGCTGCTTTTCCTCACATGCGCTTGTGCCATGAAACGTTTGTTGGCCCCCTGGGTGCCACAAAACTCTCGATTGAGGCTAGCCTTTGGCTTATGCGTTTGTGTGCTACTAACAGCTGGACTAGACTACCAAAAACCAACCCCCCCAAAAAACAGCTGGGGAAGAAAATGTTTAGGAGCCCATTATGTAATGCTGACAATTTCATTATTAAGTGCTGTCAAGGCACAGCTGACTCTTGGCCACTCTCACGGATTTTCAAGGGGGTTTCAACAAGAGATGTCCCTTGCCTGCCTCTGCATAGCAGCCCAAGGCTTTCTCGAGCTCTAAGAAGTTTGGTCTAATCTGGACTATGAGTATCAGGATGAGGGGGAGGGTTGCCTTGCAAGATGCTCTCATTTGCCTGACCCTCTGTTCACCCCCCAATATTCTACATAAATGTGTAGTCTAAACCAGTCTGGAACCTGATGCAGGTTCTTCTGTCTCCTTTTTTTTGAGAATAGCCCCCTATATTCACAACCTCAGTTCCTTCTTTCCAGTTTTTCCAGCTATAAAAGGGCACCCCTAATGTGCAGGCCTTTGTACTGCTGGCATCAAGCCATTCCTCGGTGATAGACCACATTTTTTGCATGCCAACAGTACCAGGAGCAATCCCTGGAATTTCCCGTTCTTTTAGAGCAGGGCTGGGAGAAGAATGCTGCCTGAAACTTTGGAGAGTTGTTTCCAAAACAGACAGTACTGGGCTAGATGGGCTATTGTTTCCCCCCCTCAAAATAAGGCTTTTTCATATGCACCATCTTGCTAACATTGATAATCTTGTGAGTGAGTAGGACAGGGCATCCAGTGATCTGCCACCAATTGTTCTTGTTAAGGAACACTTCTGGCTTTTCTTGCTCATTCAGCATGTATGATGCCTAATACCGCGGTGATGGAAAGTGCCGTCAAGTCACAACTGACTTATGAAAAATAGTAAAAAGGCCAGTAGCACCTTTAAAACTAACAAACTTTATTGTAGCATACGGTTTTCAAGGCAAGAAGAATAAGAGATTGGATTTATACCCCGCCCTTCACTACCCAAAGGTGTCTCAGAGCGACTTACAAACTCCTTTCTCTTCCCCTCCCCTCCCCACAACAGACACCCTGTGAGCAGTGTTCCCTCTAAGTTGAGTGTGAGCTAGCTCAGTTTTTTAGCCTCCAGCTCACATATTTTTATCTTAGCTCAGGAAGGACGGCTCCAGACCAAACTAATTTATGCAGTAGAAGAAGAAGAAGAGATTGGATTTATACCCTGCCCTTCACTTGGAGTCTCAGAGCGGCTTACAAACTCCTTTCCCTTCCTCTCCCCACAACAGACACCCTGTGAGGTGGGTGGGGCTGAGAGAACTCTGACACAAACTGCTCTTTTTTCAAGGACAGCTGTGCCAGAGCTTGTGACTGACCCAAGGTCACATCAGCAGGTGCAAGTGGAGGAGTGGGGAATCAAACCCAGTTCTCCCAGATTAGAGTCTGCACACTTAACCACTACACCAAACTGGCTCTCAGACAAATCGCTTGCTCACAACTTTAACGCCAGATGCTCACAGAGTAGGATTTTTGCTCACAAGACTCCACAGCTTAGAGGGAACATTGTCTGTGAGGTAGGTGGGGCTGAGAGAGCTCTGACAGAAACTGCTCTTTTCCAAGAACAGCTCTTATCAGAGCTACAGCTTGCCCAAGATCATCCAGCCAGGTGCAAGTGGAGGAGTTGGGAATCAAACCCGGTTCTCCCAGATTAGAGTCCGCACAGTTAACCACTACACCAAACTGGCGTTCAGAGGTGGTTTGTGGTTTGCCATTGCCTGCCTGTGTGTCACGGCCCTGGTATTCCTTGGAGGTCTCCCATCCAAATACTAACCAGGGTGAACCCTGCTTAGCTTCCAAGATCTGATGAAATTGGGCTTTCAAGTTATTTGCAAAGGTTCCAGTCTCCATGTAGACAATGATGGACTGGCAGAGTCAGTGCAGGTGATGCCATCTGAAACAGCCACAGTAGCACAGAAAGTCACACTGCTTGGAGTCACTTTTTGTGGTACATTTTCTACCTTGTCTGGCTTTGTGCTGCAGTGTTAAACCAGCCACGATAGAAGCTGCCATCTGGAGGAATGTTCTTTCTACTTATTATTTGGTTGCCAAAGCTATGGTTGCAGAACAAGCAAAACCAGAAGAGGATTGGACTCAGTGACAGCACATCTACTTGGAGAGCAGAACATCCCAGGTTCAATCCCAGATGGACCTCTGTCTGAGACCTTGGAGAACCTGCTGCCAGTCAGAGTAGACAATACTGGCCTTGATAAACCAATGGCTTTTACTCTGTATAAGGCAGCTTCATGTGTTCTCCAAAAAAGTGTAAATAATATTTTTTTTAATTAAAATTTTTTATTTGTACTCAGAGACAAATTGCTAACCAGTTTTATTATTCTTTCTCGTGGGAATTTTTGAGATGAAACACACATAGCTATTTCTTTAGACGAAGAAGAAGAGATTGGATTTATACCCCACCCTTCACTTCCCGAGTCTCAGAGCGGCTTACAATCCCTTTTCCTTCCCCTGTGAGGTAGGTGGGGCTGAAAGAGCTCTGAGAGGACTGCCCTTGAGAGAACAGCTCTAAAAGAACTTGTGACTGACCCAAGGTCACGCCAGCAGCTGCATGTGGAGGAGTGGGGAATTAAACCTGATTCTCCCAGATTAGAGTTCGCGCTCCTAACCACTTCACCAAACTGGCTTTACAATGAGGCTGTGAATACTCTCTGGTAGACGGAAAGAGGGACAAACAGCGGCTAGCCGTAGGAAAGCTGCTCTCTTTCAGTCTCAGCTTGCTGATCTCTAATATGGGAATAACAAAGTTGCCCAGCCTGGCAAGGTCGTTGTAAGAATGAATGAGAAAATGTGTGTGAGGCACATTGAGCATTCAGGAAAATGGGCTACGTAAATGCGATGCAGTTTCAGCAGGATAGCCCTGTTTGTCTGCGGCAGAAGAGCTAGATTTGAGTCCAGGAGCATCTTAGAGACCAACAAGATTTCCGGGGTTCAAGCTTTCGAGAGTCAAGACTCCCTTCGTCTGATACTGACAAAGCTTTAACTCTCAAAAGCTTATATCCTCAAAGTCTTGTTCATGTCTAAAATGCTATATAAAATGCTATATATTTCCTTTCCTCCTCAGTGTCTAAAACAGTCTCAGTTGGGATTCTGTCTTTTCTTTTCAGCCAGGGAACAGACAATGGAGGAGTTTCCTCAGGAGCAAAGTCCTGAGCAGGTGGAACGGCACAGAGCAAGTGTGGCAATACCCCAAAGGAATAGTTCCCAGGGTTCACTGAAAGACAAAGCTTCGGAACATCAGCAAGAGTCAAACACATTAAAGGATAAACACTTGGTGTCCAGAAAACAGATGTCTACTCCTTCTGAAGGAGGCTCTGAATTAACCAAATGCCCCATTCGGCGAAGAAAATGTATGTCCAATAAACAGCATCCATGTCCTGAGTGTGGGAAAATCTTCAACCGGACTTCATCCCTCAATGCCCATCGTAGAGTCCACACAGGCGAGAAGCCCTATAAGTGTGCCGAGTGTGGGAAGAGCTTCAGTAAGAGTTCACACCTCATTGCTCATCAGAGAATCCACACAGGTGAAAGACCCTACACTTGTGTGACTTGCGGGAAAAGCTTCAATCATTCCTCACATCTTATCATCCACCAGCGAACTCACACAGGGGAGAAACTCTATAAATGTCTGGAGTGTGGGAAAAACTTTCGGTACAGCTCTGATCTCATCAGGCACCAGATTGAGCACGAGGGAGAAAAACCCTACAAATGCCCTGACTGTGGGAAATGCTTCAATCGGAGTTCAAACCTCCTTATACATCAGAGAATCCACACAGGAGAGAGACCCTACAAGTGTCTTGAGTGTGGGAGAAGCTTCAGCTACAGCTCAGTCCTGATTAGGCATCAAAGAGTACACACAACTGAGAAGCCTTATAAATGCCCAGAGTGTGGGGAAGGTTTCCATGTGAATGCCAGCCTCATGACACATCACAGAATTCACACAGGAGAGAAACACTATTCATGCCCAGAGTGTGGGAAAAGTTTCAGATGGATCTCACACCTTGCTAGGCATCGGAAGATTCACACAGTGGAGAAACCTACATAAAAGCTGCAAATATTACAAAAACTGTTGAACACATGAAGCTGCCTGGTCCTGGTCCGTAAAGGCCAGTATTGTCTACTCAGACTGGCAGTGGCTCTCCAGGATCTCAGGCAGAGGTCTTTCGCATCACCTATGACTTGATCTTTTTAAGGGTGGGTGCCAAGGATTGAGCCCGAGACCTTCTGCATGCACAGCAGGTACTCTACCACTGAGCCATGCCCCTAATTTTGTGTGTATATTCAGAGGTTATGCTCAAATATACTAGTTCATATATTTGTATTTCTCCATTTCCCATTTTTTAAAAATTGTGTCTGTTTTTAAAATTGTAAACCATTTTGGGCAAGGACCTATTCATTTTATTTTTTGTAAAACAAAATATTTTAGGCACTGAACCAATAATAAAACAATTACATTCAGCAGCTGGCTTCTGATTGTTTAACAAGTGTGTGTTTTAATGTTTTCTGTGTTGTATTTGGTACCTGCTTGAACCTAAGATACAGGCTGTGATATAAATGTTCACATCTCTGTCCTGGTCTGTAAAGACATCTCCATGTCTCATTATAATGAATCTTAAATATAGCTACACCCTTCTAAGTCCATGGAAGTCAATGGGTTTAGAAGGGTCTAATTATGCTTAGGATTCCATTGCCAGTACAGTCATCAAGTGCCTTCTGCTTTATTAAGGGATGAAGGAGTTAGCTGCAGATCCCAAATTCTCTTAGACACATCCTTTTAAAAGTCCTGTTTCTAAGTCATTCTCGTTCACCTATGTAAACATATGAAGCTGTTCAGCAGCGAGACAGGCCACAGGGGCCTCTAGCTCAGCATTTACTCTGCCTGAGAGTGACTCTATATGGCTTACATAAATAAACGCTGTCAAGCTGCAATTGATTCTTGGTGACCCCAGCGGCTTTTAAGGCAGGTGTGAAGCAGAGGTGGTTTGCCATTGCCTTCCTTGGTAGAGCCTTCATTGGTGGTCTCCCATCCAACCATGGGTTCTACTTAGTTTCCAAGATCTAATGAGACTGGGCTATATCATACCATTCCACATCCCCCTATACCGCTTAGAAAAAGAGTTTTTCAAATGATTCACCCCAGAGATTGAACTTGCACTCTGAGGAAGGGGCCCTTCCACTTTACATTGTCTTCTGCTCTGCAGCTTCTTCATCAGATCCTAATTATCTGGTCCACACTATTAACACTAACACTATCACATTTTTAATGCTGCCATTATTTTCTCTTCCTGATTTTATCCTTGCAACCAGTCTGTGAGGTAGGCTATTTATTTACATAGGTATTTTATACTCCACTTTTCTCCCCACTGGGGACCCAAAGCAGCTGATAATATCATTTCCCCTCCCTCATTTTATTCTCACAGCAACAACCTACTTGTTAGGCTGAGAAGGTGATTGGCCCAAGATCACCCAGTAAGCTCTCATGCCATCGTAGAGGATTTGAACCTGGGTCTCCTAGCTCCTAGACTGACAGTAACCCCTGTATCATACTTGTAGCTTAGACTGAGAGAGAGAGGGAGGGAGAGACTAGCCCAAGGCCACTCAGCAGGTTTCATGGCAAGGTGAAGTTTTGAACCAAGGTCTCCAGAGCCTAGCTGAATACCAACTACTATACCCCACTGGGGCTTAGTCATTTTTGTTGCTTTGTATGTGGCCTAATTCAGCATGAAGGAATTTGTCACATACCCTTGATTCTGTATTGGAGATGGATTCCACTGAAGAATCATATTTACATATTATTAATTTTACAATATGTTTATATCCCACCTTTCTGCCCTCACAAGGGCCACCAAGGCGGCTAACAAATTAAAACATACATAGTGAAAATTACATTTTAAAATCAACCAAACAACAGCAACACAGCACTAAAAGATTTAAAACCAGTGCTTAAAAAATTACAGATAAAAACAACAAAACATTGGGCAGGAAGGAGGGTTCAGTGAGGGAACACCAAAGAAAACGAACAAGGCGACAGAAGGGGAGAGACTGCCAGAGTTTTGGTGCCAAGACTGAGAAAGCCTTCTCCTCGGCTGCCCACCTCATCTAGGGTGGCCAGCTCTGGGTTGGCAAAGACATGGAGGTTTTGTGGGTGTAGGGCAGGGTTTGAGGAAGGGAGGGATCTCAGCAGGGCATAATGTCATAGAGTCCACCCTCCAAAGCAGCCTTTTTCTCCAGGGAAACTGATCTTGGTTGTCTGGAGATCAGCTGTAGTAGCAGATCTCCAGGTGCCACCTGGAGGTTGGCAATCCTAACTTAATCTCAAAAGGTAGGACAACTGAAGCAGGCTTCAAAGAGAACTCACAGGGTTGCCACCCTCCAGGTGGCACCTGGAGACCTCTCACTGTTACCATTGATCTTCAGAGACCAAGATCAGTGCCCCCTGGAGAAACTGGCTGCTTTGGAGGGTGGCACTGTACCCCGCTGAGGAGGACCCTCCCCTCCCCAATCCCTCCCCTCCCCAATCCTTGCCTTCCTCAGGCTCCACCTTCCAAATCTGCAGTAACTTCCCAACCTGGAGTTGGCAAACTTAGGCCTCTGCACCGCAAAAACACTTTAAAAGGACAGGCGAGGCGAGAGAGCTGGCAAGCAACCCTTTTAATGGCTCTCCCTCCCATTTTAGCTCCAGTTTAACCGGGATGCGTTCCTGTTCGGACGAGGTTGTCCTCGAGCCGTGCCGGTAGGGGGCTCTGCTCGCTGCTTGCGGAGAAAGCGTTGCTCTTGCTCGCTTTGGTGACGAGAGCCCAGAAGGACGAACTTCCTGCAGTAATGCGGTCTGCCGCCATCGTCAGTGCCGCTGTTCGTAGTTCCATCAGCGGAGGTCTGTGGGCGGAGAGACCTGGAGGTCAGCTGTCCTGAGAGCCCGACCGGAGGGAAGACTACTCAGACCGTAAAGGAGACTCTGCCGCCCAATGAGTAGGAGCCTGTCCCGGATTTGCGGGGAGAAAGCAGGAAAGACCGTTCTTGCAGCCGTACTACATATATTTGAAGGCGGGGGGCTGCCCTCGAATGGATTGCGCATTTGGCCGGGTTACTATTGCCTGGGTTGGGCTGTGCCGGTGTGGAAAACCTGCACTCTGTTACAGTTAATATATATCTCTAGTATGTAGCACGATCAAAATGAACTTGCGTTTCAGCTCCTGCCGCACCGGGGATCTTGTGGAATGTTCATTCTTTCCACCCAGACAGTGATAAAACTTTGGTCAGGTTTGGATGGCTTACCTTGGTATGATTTCTTAAGGTCCCCATCAGTTAGGAAGCAAGCCTGGAGAAGGGAAGATTGAGAAGTGATATGATAGCCATCTTCAAGCGCTTGAAGGGCTGTCATATGAGGATGGAGTGGTGTTATTTTCTGTTGCCCCAGAAGGTCAGACCAGAACCAATGGGTTGAAATTAAATCAAAAGAGCTTGCAGCTAAAAATTAAGATGGGTAGCCCTGGTCTGTAGCAGCAGCAGCAGCAGCAGAAGAAGAAGAAAAGAGCAAAAGTCCAGTAGCGCCTTAAACACTAAACTTATTGGTTTTAGGGTAAGAGCTTTCATGAATCGCTGCTCACTACTTCAGATATCTGAAGAAGTGAGCAGTGACTCAGGAAAGCTCATATCCTGCCACAAATTTTGTTAATCTTTAAGGCGCTACTGGACTCTTACTCTTCTACAGCTAAATATTTAGAAGAACTTCCTGATGATTCCCCAGTGGAACAGGCTTCCTCAGGAGGGGGTGAGCCAGTTTGGTGTAGTGGTTAAGTGTGCGGACTCTAATCTGGGGGAACCGGGTTTGATTCCCCACTCCTCCACTTGCCCCTGCTGATGTGACTTTGGGTCAGTCACAAGCTCTGGCACAGCTGTCCTTGACAAAGAGCAGTTTGTGTCAGAGTTCTCTCAGCCCCACCCACCTCACAGGGTGTCTGTTGTGGGGAGGGGAAGGGAAAGGAGTTTGTAAGCCGCTCTGAGACTCCAAGTGAAGGGCGGGGTATAAATCCCATCTCTTCTTCTCTTCTTCTTCTTCTTATCAGGGGGTGTGGCATATGCTAATGAGTTATGCTAATGAGTCCCCCTAGCTCTTTTTCTACGAAACGACCCCTGATCTTAGCAAATGCTGTCCAAATACATTTGAACAACTCCAAGACTCAATCCAGACATTGTAAACCAGAGTTTGTTTGTGGCAGAGTAAGAAGCCTGGTTAATTGCTGGCCCTGCCTATGCCCTCATTCTCTCCTTTGCACAGGACCAGCGTTTGACTAATTCTGCATTTGGTCAGTTGCAAAGTCCTGATGTGCGTGCCTTAACAAATCAGTGCTAGTTTCCCTCCCCTCTAACTGAGAGTGTGTAGAGCCAGCATGAGAACCAATGCGGTATGATTAGGGAGACCTGAGTTCAAATTCCTACCCATGCTCCCCAAAGGGCTTGTGGTGGTGCTATGCCCTGCTGGTTGAGTTTATAGCAGCAGACAGAGAGGTGCAGGAAGTTATAGTAAATCTGTTGCTTCCTTTTCTGTGCCAAGCCCTTTAAAGGTAGAAAACGGAATCAGTCCATTATTATTTTTCTCTGACTCCTCCCAGGATTGGCCTAGTCCAAGGAATACCTAGCCCCAATGGAAAGTGACGGCAAGGGGGCCTTGAACCCGGACATCCAGATTTCTAAAGCCCAAGACAACTCATGCCTAGAACATTCATGTAAGGAAATCCTCAAGCTTGTTTCCATCTGCTGCTTGCTGGGCTAACCACAGAGGGCAAGTTGCCTCCTGCTGTGAGGAAAGTGCTGCTCATTTCCCCCCTCTGCTTTAGCAGTAAATAAAGCCTATCAGCTAGAAGAGGCTGAATGTTTATGCCTGTTACTGCCCATCTTTTTTTTTTGTACTGTGTGGTGTAGAGGCCAGAATGTTGGACTAGGAAATGGGAGGCTCAGATTTCTGCAACTGCCAGGAGGACTCACGGAGTGAACTTGGGGCCAGTCACAGACTCTGAGCCTGACCTGAGAGTGCAATTCTGCAGGCCCTGCAAAACTGAGTTGTTCCGCCAGGCCTATGGTTGAGGGCATACAGGGGTCTCAATCAGAAAGACCTAACGGATGGCCTCCCTCTTCCCCCCCTCCCTTGTCTCCCCCCCCATTCCCCTTCTCCAGTGGCAGAATTCCCCCTTCGTATTGGGTTTATGTCATATTGATTCTGTATAACTGATTATATTGTATTTGTATGGATTTTGATGGATTTTATTGATGACTGAATTATTCGACATTTGGAAATTTTAATTGTATATTTATAAACTGATGTTACCCGCTTTGAGTCAGTCTTCAGGAGAGCGGGCTATAAATTAATTAAATAAATATTAATAGTAATAAATAACAAGGCAGTTATGAGGATAAAGTAGGGACGGGAGAAACACATATGCCACTCTGTGTTCTTTGGAAGAAAGGTGGGGTTTCAAAAAATTCCTTTATGTATCAGCTTTCTGCCTAATAGGGACTCAAAGCAGCTTCTATCAGTTTTCTCTCCTCCATTTTATCCGCACAACAACCTTGTGAGGTAGGTTATGCTGAGAGTGTGTGACTGGCCCAAGGTCACCCACCCTTCCTTGGCAGAGTGTGGATTCCAGCCTGGGTCTCTCGGATAGTCTAATCCTCTGGCCATTACACCCCAGAACACCATATAAATGTAGCATCTATGTTGATTCACAGACAGGGCTGCAAAAAGACTGGATTCTGCCAAGAAGGCGCTGCCACCTATATACTGAAGCAGACCATTTCTCCACCTAGCCCAGTGCTATAAACATATGAATCTGCCTATACTGAACCAGACCATGAATCCATGTAGCTTGAGCTATGGGCCAGCAGTTAACTGTGTTTCATGTCAACTGCATTTCTTTTCTTTTTTTTAATTAAACATTTTATATATATTATAAACCAACAAATTTACAAACATTCACCGAACAATAAATCAAATTATATAAAATAAACCAACTAACAGAATAGTAATCCAAAGCTTAAAAGCAACACAGTAATCAAGAATGAAATCTATAGAAAAGAAGCAATACCACAATCAAAATATTATAGTAAAGGTTTTAAATTTGAAATGTCAACTGCATTGCGAATCTCAGAAAGCTCCATCATGGTCCCCTGAATCAAATCTGCAAGGATTAGGACACGTGGTGGAGTGGTGAGAGTGCCCAGGGTAGGATCTGAGAGACTCAGGTTGAAATCCCCAGTCTGCCAGGGAAGGTTGCTGGATTACCTCGGGCTGGTCATAGTCAGCCTCAGGGGGTGGTTGTTTTGCAGATAAAATGAGAGAGGGGAGGTTGTAAGCCATTTTGGGTTTACCCTTGGGGAGAACAGCATGGTATAAACACCAAAAGAAATAAATGAAGGCTGGAGAAATCAGAGTTAATGGGATTTTGGGATGCAATATGTTTATATTTTTTTCACTTATTTTAAGATTTATACCCCACCTTTCTGCCCTCATCAGGGCCACCGAGGTGGCTGTATATGTTCCCATACATTAACCTAGCTGCAAGACACGCTTCGGTGACAATTCAGGATTTAGACTGCATACACTCACTCATGCTGCTTGTTAATTGTTCCCCCCCACACACACACACCTGATTTTCTGGATCTGTAGGGGCAGCCTGAGGAGGGGGAACTGAAAGACACAGAATGTTTCTGGTCCTTAGTTCTGTTTGTCTCAACAGGGGATGAGATGGCAACCGAGGAACAGATGCCTCTAAAAGGAGATCTGGAGCAAGTGGAAACAGATGCGTTGCTGGCAGGGAGATCTGCACAGAGAGTTTCTCTCCGTGGCAAACAGGAAAGAGACAGTGAGAGTAGGGATTTGTCAGAGAGGAAGGGAACAGCCGTCTCCACCAAAATACAAGGCAGTGGTGCTCACCGCAAAGAGAAGCGTTTCAGAAATCTGGACCAGCTTGTTATCCAGCAGCTGATCCACATTGGAGAAAGTGAGATTGCACGCAGGAAGCAGGAGGAGGGCTTCCATCAGGGCTCCGACCTCGTGAAACCTCAGATTGTCCATTTGGGAGAGAAACCTTACCTGTGTATTGTCTGTGAAAAAACCTTCCGCAACCATTCAGGCCTGATGGTGCACCAGAGGATCCATACAGGCGAGAAGCCCTACAAGTGCCCCGATTGTGAGAAGAGCTTCAACCAGCGGTCCCACCTGACCTCCCACTGGGGGACTCATACAGGAGAGAAGCCCTTTAAATGCTTCGACTGTGGGAAAAGCTTTAGCTATAACTCTGGGCTCATTATACACCAGCGAATCCACACAGGGGAGAAGCCCTACAACTGCTCCGACTGCGAGAAGAGCTTCAGTCAGAAGTCCCACCTGCTCTCGCATCAGCGGACCCACGTGGGAGAGAAATCCTTCAAATGCCCTGACTGTGGGAAAAGCTTCAGCTATAACTCGGGTCTCGTGATCCACCAGCGAATTCACACTGGGGAGAAGCCCTACATGTGCTCAGACTGTGGGAAGAGCTTCAATCAGAGGTCACACCTCATTTCACACCAAGGCATTCACACGGGACAGAAGCCCTACACATGTAAGGACTGCGGGAAGAGCTTTAGCTTCAACTCTGGGCTAGTTATACACCAGCGGCTTCACACTGGGGAGAAACCTTATAAGTGCCCCAACTGTGGGAAAAGTTTCAATCAGAAATCACACCTCATTTCACATCAGAGAGTCCATGCTGGAAAGAAGCCTTGACTTGGGAAGGAACTGATTCCTGTTTGGTGTAGTGGTTAAGTGCGCATACTCTAATCTGGGAGAACCAGGTTTGATTCCCCACTCCTCCACTTGTAAGTTTGATTCCCCACTCCTCTGCTTGTAGCTGCTGGATGACCTTGGGCAAGCCATAGTTCTGTCAGAGTGGTTCTCTCAAGGACAATTCTGGAAAGACCTCTCTCAGCCCCACCTACCTCACAGGGTGTCTGTTGTGGGGAGGGGAAATGAAAAGAGTTTGTAAGCCGCTCTGAGACTCTGAGTGAAGGGTGGGTTGTAAATCCAGTTTTTTCTCCCCCCCTCCCAAGGTGTAAAGCTGTTGCCCTTGAGCCAGTTAGCTTAGAGGGAACAGTACTTTGTCGGTGTTTCCAAACCAGTGGTGCCTCAGGGCAGTGGGCTTTGTATTAGGACTAAGGTTCGTACATTCTGAAGATTTCATGCCAAAAGGAGGGCAATGTGTGACAACATCCACCCCCCAAAGCATAGCTGGCTGACAATCCAAGGGAGAAGCAAGAATGGGAATTAAAAATGCACTGTTAAAGTACTTTAATATACATTTTCTGTTTTTTAACAGAAACGAACAACATAAAGCTAAAATATCTAATGATCAACAGCTTTGGAAATTCTAACATCTCCTGTTAAAGTATATTAATCTTTTAGGGTATAATTCTCAGTTGGTGCAAAATTTATTTAATTCAGGACTACAATTAGTTGGGTATCTTGTAAGTTATTAATGCATACCCATCTACGTTTAGTGTTTTTGTTTTAAGTTGTAGTCCTTTACAATGCATTTGGACACAACACACACACAAAGCTGCCTTACACAAGCAGACCATCAGTCCATCAAGGTCAGTGTTGTCTACTTGACTGGCAGCGGGTCCTCTAAGGTCTCAGGCAGAGGTCTTTCACATCACCAATCAACTGATCCTTTCAACTGGGAATGCTGAGAATTGACCCTGGGACCTTCTGCATGCCAAGGACATGGTCTACTACTGAGTCACAACCCCTCCCCAATATATATGTATATCAAAGCAGTATGTATATTAAAGTACTGTCATATTAAAGATAGATCCCCAGCAAATAGACATTAATCAGACTGGTTTCGTTAGTGGTTCAGTCAAGGGCCCTGATGATCTTGGTCGATCAATACAACAGAAAGTAACTTTTTTAATTTCACCCTTTTTGTACATTCAGCTTTGCCTTTGTGAGGTCATGTATTTATCGTACTAAATAGTACTAAATAGTTGTTTTTCTGTGCCTCTTGCAGGCTATAAGAGTTATACCTGCTTGCAGTGTTACTTGTTACAGGAATCCATATTCCCATATTTGCATTTTCATCTTTTTATTTTTCCCCTGGTGCAAAATGGGGTGGCCGCAACATCATGTGCCAGTTTGCATGGTCAAATGAACCACTTTGGATCCAGCAATACAAGCAGAGCTTTTGCATTACGTCTTATACGATCCCTTTCTGATTGGGACCTCTCATGTTAACTAGTGTCTTGCCTCTGACTCAAAGTCATTTTGTCATACAATGCATGTGTGAACCTGCCTGAAACTGGAAATTGTATATGACTGATAAAGCACACAGTTGCTTGTTGGATGTTAAGCCAGACAGGGCTACCAGAGTCTTCTCTGACTCTTCCTGGTGATGACCACTAAATGCGGAAGTGGTGTCCAAATAAACACATTCCATGGGTGGAAAGAAGCTGTGAAGTGGAGAAACGTTTTGGACTTGTGAGCATCTGCATGTCAGTTTAGGAGCCAGGTCTGTATAAGTATGGGAAGAAAATGGCAAAACAATTGGGTGACAGCATCGGTTTCTTTGGCCAAGCGCATGGCTAGAACAATTTAATCCATGATTATAACTAATGAAGGAAAGGATTTAGGCAAAGTCCTGTTTAGGCAGATTCATAAATTCACTTTAGGAGGACATCAAAATATACTGTCGTAGTGCTTGCCCTTAAGTCCTCAACTTTGGCAAAGTAATATTGATTTAAATATTAAAGGGCCTTGCATAATAAATTCAAAATAAATTATTTTTATTCCATCTCTTGTGCCTTGTGGGGTCTTGTTTTTGTGAAGTTTATTGTGCTCTAAGTAGGCACTCTGGCACAGAATGAAATCCTCCAAGTAATTTTAAATATATGCGCTTAATTTCTCTGTGACTTTACAATGTGGAGTACTCAGAGGCAGCTGTGTTCTTTACACTCACTATGCATCTGTGTAGTGGACAGATCATTCACGTGTCTCTTCTGAAACTTGAAACTGATTGAGTGGCTTCCCTGAGGCAATTTATGGAACCTCCCTGGACAAAATAAACTATATCGTAAAGGTTCCTTTGCTTGAAAGCCAGTCGAATCCGACTCTAGGGTTGCGGTGCTCATCACTGTTTCAAAGCCGAAGAGCCAGCGCTGTCCGAAGACATTTCCGTGGTCATGTGGCCGGCATGACTAAACACCAAGGCACACGGAATCCTAAGAGACCCGTAATACAAAGCAGATTTACAGCACCAAGGGCCATATCTCTGTGTGTAAAGTGCTGTCAAATGGCAGCTGACTTGGTGACCACAGCGAGGGGCTTTCAAGGCAAGTGAGAAGCAGAGGTGGTTCACCATTGCCATCCTCTGCAGCCTTCCTGGGAGGTCTCCCATCCAACTACTAAACAGGGCTAACTCTGCTTAGCTTCCAAGATCTGATGAGAGTGGGCTGTATCATGCTGCCTTCCTTCCTAAAGGCCATTTTCAGGCATTCTTTCCTGCCCACAGAAAAATGCTCTTAAACGTGCCGCTGTTGTGGTTAAAAAAAGAAGAAGGTAAGGGGTTTGAACAGTTTCATGTGTAACATACATAAGTATTCTTAGACAAAAAAAAGACTCTGCTAAAATATGTTTGTTTGGGGGCTTTGTATTGAAGTTCTCCACTCTGCCTTGATGGTATGCTCTAGAACTCTGAAGTCCCTATTCATTATAGCTTGATTTGTTAACAAAATGCTTTTTTTTTTTTACTTTCCATTTATTAATCGCTTTCCCCAGTGGGCTCAAAGCGATGTACAGTTACTCAGTATAGACAAGGGACTAACAATATTTGTAGGGGATAGGGAAGACAACATATATTCATTTTAATTGCACGCGCCGTCACTGCCCGGTGTAGACGTCTTCTGGCTGGCTCCGTCATTTTCCCGCATGGCTGCTTGCTGTCCAGGCGTCAGGACCTGTATGTCGATCGCCACACTGCCACCGCCTGGCCGGAACATCCATTGCAGGAGTTCTTTTCGTAGCCGAGAAGCTGTTTCGCCTTACAAGCCTTGACCAGGACGTCTGACCGTCAGCTAACGCCGTCCCACAAGGGAGATTTATTTATTTAGCGCTTTTTTTAGCCCACCTTTATCACTGAGACTCAAGGCAGATTAAAATCTCTTGACCCTGGTCTGGATCCCACCATGTGGGTCCTCAAGCGACCTCTGTGATGCTGGAGCAACACAGGCATGACTTTCTCCAGCTTGCTCCAGAGTCGTCTGCTGGTAGCCCCTGAGAGTACTGAAGTCAACCCCTCTCTGCCCCAGTTATCTGATGAAGGAAGCTCTGACTCGAAAGCTCGTACCCCAAAATCTTGTTGGTCTCTAAGCTGCTACTGGACTCGAATCAAGCTCTTGGTTATACCGTGGCCAATCAAGGTTTAAACCCGAGGAAGGTTAGATGAAAAGTTTCCAGTGTTTAAGAAATCGTTCTCCAAGGACTGTACTCATCCAGTCTGTTCTCATCCAGGATTGCTGTTCCCTGTCTCTATTGGCCATCTAATTCTAACCTTACTTCTTAACCCTTCACTTTCCCCAGCGTTCTTAGCTTCTGACACCCCAGCCTTTGCAACAAAACAAACAAACCCAAAACAAGCACAACCAAGAATTTTTGGAAAGCCAGAATTTGGGAACAGAGTGCATTGTGTGTCAGTGTTTTATGCAAATTCACCTGTATGGACTGGTGGTGGAAAATCAAATCATAGCTGACTTGTGGCCCCATAGGGCTTCCAGGGGAAGAGACGTTCAGAGGTGGTTTGCCATTGCCTGCCTCCATGCCCATGATCCTGGTGGTATCCTTGATGGTCTCCCGCCCAAATACTGGCCAGGGCTGACCCTGCTTAGCTTCCAAGATCTGATGAGACTGGGCTAGCCTGAGCTATCCAGGTCATGCCTAGAGATGTGAAGGCCCAGGAAAAAAACGGAAAAATTCTTTAAAAAATGGGTTTTTTCCGTTATTTTCCTGAAGCCTTTTTGTTTTTTTCCCCCAAAATTGGAAACATTGAAAAAAGAAAAAAAAATGATTATGGAACGTTTTATTTTAACATGATGAATAAAATATTTTAAGACCAGGTGTTCAAATATTTTCCAAATCATTTCTAATATGTGTGTGTGTGTGTGTGTGTGTATGTGTGTGTGTGGTATCAGATTGATCTAATTTCTGTGCACTGAGGACAAGCAAGTCCTAGGTTACAAACTGAACTCTCCAATGCACGAACAAGATGCATTTCTTCCTTTAGGAGGTGCTATTGTCAGAAGACAATAAAAAGGTTTCAGTTTTGTTTTTGCATGTGGGTGGGTATTCTGTTTGTAATAATTGTTTGGATACACTGTATTTTTAATATGCTAGTTGTGATAATTTCATGCCAAGTAAAAATGTCCATAGTCATATTTTATGTTCCTAAAGTAACAGAATGACTTTCAGTCTAGAAAAGAAAAAAGAAAATTTCCATTTCCCCCCAAAAAAAACTGGAAAAAAAAGGGTTTTTTTCCGAGCTTCAAAATTTCCGGAAATTTTACATCTCTAGTCGAGCCTATATGGATTACTACATGGATTATTTCTGGATCGCAGCCTGACACCCACCCAACAGTTCCATGGCGTTCAGTTGAGATCCATACTACCTGCCTCACCTCCCCACACCCTGACAACAACCATTTCTTTCCTTTTCAGAAACTTCTCAGAGTTTCCTTCCTTCTCAAGACAAAGTGATTCCTCTTCTGCCCACAAAAGGCCCTTAGCTGAAGTGGCAGAGTGACCACT